TTTAAAATTATGCTAATTTATTCATGACGTAGCAGTTTCTGTGCTCATGAATATTCATTAATTTGTGGGTCAATACATTTTAAAAGGGGCGATATATTATTTTTGGGGGAAGAGTTAGAAAGGGGGATTAGCAATCCTTAGGGGGTCAATACAAAAGAAGGGACCCATTTGGAGATCAGCCATGCTCCTCGTGTCTGTTGTTGCACGTGACCTACAGCTGTGTTCGTTCTTCGACGACTTCGACTGGCTTCCATGTGGGGTAGTATTATTGTGTTCTGTTTTCCTGACTTGAGTTTTTGAATCCGCTGTTTATGTTTTTAACGTCTTTCATGTCTTTTGTAGGAGTGTCCAATCCGTGATTCTTGCGATCTTTGAGTTCCCGGCGCACTGTCTTGTCCACTGTACCACGAGTGTCTTCACACACGAGTTAGGATTTAAGTCCTATTCATAGGAGCACTGTCTTCACTAGCATTCAAAAATCTAACTAAACATACTGGATTCGAACCAGCGATCGCTCACATTGCTGACATAGTACAAATCAACTGAGCTATGTGGGTAGTCATGCAAATTAAATAATTCGTTGTCATATTTAGCTTTATTGCCGAATGGTGTTTGCGAGAAAAAAATGGGCAGGCAAGGAAATTGAACCCAGGTCCTCCTGATCACTATGTAGAAAACTGACCCACAAGACCACAATGGATTTACTGGATGTGTTTGCATTTGATAAGACTATATAGTGTGTATTTCTATTATTGAGTTACAATTGTCCAAAAAATTGCCAATTTTGTGTTTTTACTTGTGTAAACTATATGCATGACATAACCCGTTAAGTGTACATCTTGCCAATTGGGTGTTTGCCATTTGCGTTGCCCATACCTGACCCGACCCTAACCCTAATGTCAAGACACGTTCCTGTTAATAATTCCGTTGCCCATACCTGACCCGACCCTAACCCTAATGCCAAGACACGTTCCTGTTTATAATTACTCAATAATGATACTCTGTTGTGCACTGTCTGCAGGTAAGTTGCATTGACGTCAACGGATTAAACAAGTCGCGTTTAAGTAATTTCCACTATTAACAAGTGGTTAAATTGTGACAATAAATGTGTGGACAAATATTTGAGATTAATTTTGGTGTAGACAACTCTCGTTTAATTATTTTACACCATTACAAGTTGTTAAATTGAGAGAATAAATGTCTCAACAAGTATTAAATACTTAGTT